GGAAAAGAACCCCCTGAAGTATAACTGCTCTTGGAAACCTTCCTGACTCATAAAAATCTTTTATTGCGCTTGTGTTGGTTTAATTTAATCTTTTCCATGTTGTTGATTGGAGTCTAGTCGCACACTGTGGTATGCTGGTAAGTATTTACCATGGAGAGCTTTGTTTTGGTATGTTATTTAATTGCTTCAGCTACTTGAATGCCAGTAACAATTAGACATAATTAATCTGAATTCTTTGGTTTTGCCAACCCTTGTCTTTTCTCCTTTAAATTGTATATCAGGGCTACTGTCAATTAAGTCCACAAGTGGAACTGCTAACAGAGAAGACACTGAGTGGTCACTGCTGTTTAGAGTATGTCGTACAACTCTGCTTGCAGTATATTCAGATGAACTCTGCAACCTTATCTGCTCTAGTGTTCTTGCTAATGGAACTGGACTAATGGCAGTAGCAGGGAATACTCTGCATTGCAAAAAAATGGTATTTAGTTATTTGTTGTGAGATTAATTCTCTGCTTTTTGCTCAGCTTCATATATGAAATCTCTAATGTACAAAGAAATTAGTTACAGAAAAATTGGACCAGGATTTTCCAGTCTGCTGCAGGTTTGAACAGGTGCTTACAAAAACCTGCTCCTAATTCAACTGAACAGATTGGAAATAAATGTACCAATAAACTTAATCATGATTGAAACTTCCACACAAGAGATGTAGAGAAGCTACTGCTGTTCCAGCAGAAGTATATTTTTGTTATCAAGGATAACTACAAGTGTGTTACCTGCTATTACAAGCAACTTCACAACTTTAAATTAGACTGCACAAAATATGCTACTTCATGATGGATAATGAGAACACTCTTAACAAGATGAGAAGAGTACAACACATCAGGGGAACCTAAGCAAGGCAACCTCAGACAAGTAGCCTAAAACTATGAAAGGCCCAGTCCTTTTTACATCAGTTTCATGCAAAATGAGATAGTTTTACCTTTTTCTCCCCAGTTTGGTCTCTAGTAGCTGCGTACTATTCCCATTGTCTCATCCACTTTTGCATAGATGTGGGACAGTAACTTCAACAACCTGTTTCTCTTTTCTACAACTGTGGCGATCCTTATCTGTTCCGAGCTATGGACGAGAAGTGTCATGTAAACACACTGTCCCATTGATGAGGTGGGTGCTACTGTTCAGGGGAGGCACATTTGAAAGTAAAATTTATCCTCCTCATGTGGCATCCTAACTTCAAGCAACAATGTTATAACCTTGCACAATCCAAGTGTGTAGATTTAACACTAGTATCATTATTTTGGGTGCATTACTCAGCAACACCCTCAGCCACTCCTGCATTAAGGAGTTTTCAGTCTAATTTGTTTTGTCCAGATGACTGTGTTAACATCAGAATTGCAGCCTAAAACTCTCATGCAAAGGAGCAACAGAGTTTGTTGCCCTAAAAAGCTTTTGATTTTGACACCATTAAAACAGTGAAAGGCTCTTTTATCTGTTCTTCCCTCTTCTCCCATTTGTAATATAAATAAAAAACAAACAAACCCTTACAGCTACTTTTAGGCAGATACCGCAACTAAACTGCATACCTGTAGCTAGGACTGAGTTACCTGGAGTCCCTGATTCTGCAAGCTCAAACTTCCCTAACATGTTAACAACCAGCCCATTAGTGGCATGTGTTCCCTGCAACCAATTCCCTTTCACATAGAAGCAGTTCTTGCATTTGACATAAATCTCCATTCAGTTGGGTTAAAGGATAGCATTTCAACTGAAGATCAGGTCTGGGGGGTATTCTTTTCTGTGCTACACCCACACAGCAGTGAGGGGTAAACAATGAACAAATATCTCAGTGTGAAAAGTGGTTTGTCAGATGCCAGTGGCAGCACGTACAAGGAGCCACAGGACTCAACTTCCAACTACAGTGCCATACAGACATGTTTGCAGCCTCAAAGAAAACATTAATTAATCCAAAGGAAATATCTACCCTTAAGAGCACATATGAAGAGACCACATTCTGACCCAGGAGTCAGTGATACATTGCATCTAGTATGCACCCTTTTAAAAACAATATTAAAAGAACATCCATTACCTATGTATGGATTTGGCCAGAATTAAGGCCCTGGAGGTGCCTACAATTCTCCCTCTGTGCATGCCCAGAACTGATCCCCCTAGAGCACGTAGGTGATCTCCCACCTGAGCCCAACTGGTATCCAGAAAGTAGGTACTCCATTGCCTGAGGCTCACACCATTGTCTAGTACTTGTCAATATTGTACAGTCCCTCCTATTTTAATCAGATTGAAACAATTAAACAAACTAATCACATGAAGTCACCTACAATATCTTAAACAGCTAAGAAATTCACACATACACAAGTTACATACTTGTATTAACAAGGTTTGCCACTCGACCAAAAGACTAATAACTTGGTCGTACTTGATTAACATAGCATATGAATTTAAAGTGCAGCAGCTATTCTTAAATAACTCCATGTGTGGACATTTCCATTCTGGTATAAAAGTGCCCACATTGAATTTGGAATGACTATTCTAGAATCTCTCATATACTATACAGGCAAAAAAACATTCTTCACCAGCATAGATTAAAGGCCATGTACTGTCCTCCATTTGTGCATTTGACATCTCACTGTCATCTGTAGTTTCTCAGTTAACAGAAGTGAGCAATCACTTTTTATATAAAAGAAGCCCTAAAATCTCATTGTTTGGATACTAGAAAACCAGTGTAGTTTGCTTGTTTTTGTAAGCTAAAATCACAACCTTTTTTAAAAAAAGCTGTCAGCTCAAGTACATTATTTTTGTCATCGTAGTGGCCAGTTAGACATAATAAACTCAAAATGTAGACTAGTTTTAATTGCTTAAATAATACAACAGAGACATTAATTAAAGAGCCACTTGTTATTAAGACAACTATACTATAACTGGTGTCTCCAAGCAAAATAGAGAATGCAAGAGGTATAAAAACCACCATTTCACTTCTCTGTAACCAAAGCATTCATGATAAAAGGAATCTGTATTTAGATCATTTGAACTCTTTCCAGAAAACTGATTTATTACCAGTGTGAAGTGGTGTGCGTACACATGTAGCTTCAAGACTGAAATGCAAGTTGCACTGATCTAAAGAGAAAAAATAAATTTAGATGAGAAATATCATTAACAATCATGACACAGTGATTAGGTATTGATCAAAGCCAGATGTGGTCAAAATATTTTGCAGAAATTTGTAATGATAGTTCCTTAGAGCGGGGTGTCAAATATGCAGCTTGCGAGCTGGGTCTGGGATTGGGAATCTGGCCTGCCTGGCTCCTAGAGGCTTGACATTTATAGTCAGGCTCATTGCTGAAATGTGGGGCATGGAGCCCCACTGGAGATGTGTGTTCACACGGGTGGAGTGGGGTGTGGCTCCCTGATACTGCTCATCCTATTACATTGAGATTCAGCCTGGGGAGCCAGATGAGCTTGACATCCCTGTATTAAAGTAAAAATAAGCAAACAAGGAAGCAGGGATTTTGCCCTGATTAATACTGGGGTACTAGAATAGCAGCAGCATTCCTGATACTCTAATTTTAACCACTCCTGTATTACTCAAGGGAGACTGGTGGAAATGGAATATGTATGTAGTGACAATTAGTTGAGTCACTGTAATCTCACCCACATTTTAAGCGTAGCATGGCACACACCAGAATAGAACTTTCACTTCATAAAACTGCAAAGACAAAATAGCCAGACACAGTTTGCACTGACATACTTTTACTTCTGTACCCAAGAGATTCATGGTTTCTGTTATGCTGCCTGATGTGAGGATGTTACCATTGCATTTCCTTAAATTTATGGAATCAGTGTAAAACAAAGGCTTTACTGCTACACAAAATCTTGGAACAAAGCAAAAGCTACAGTATGTGAACATACGGAGCACTATAAAGAAGTTTTAATACACACTAGAAATAGAAAATAGGATTAGAATTGAGATTCTGGCCATCGTCTCTAACCTGCTTCCTCATTTCCAAGCTAGGTTTAACCACACCCAAAAGAAAGTTTCAGAGCTCAAGAACCATCTCTAATCTAATTTTCCACTTCTGAAGTGTATTTAAATACTTTCTCTCCACATTCTTTAGGTGTTCTTCACAACCCTATTGTGAGTATATAATACGCCAGAAGCGCTACATAAAAAGGTATCCAAAAGAAAGTCTCCAGGCATTTCAATCTTTTGCTCTCAGCTGAGATGACCCCAGTAAGCCAAAACTTTGACAGTTTATGTAAAAAAATTTCATGGAAGTGTGTTACATAAAGAACGATACAATGATACAGAATTACAATAAGGGCAGAAATGCCTATGAATTTGTGCAAGGTGCAGCTGTGATTTCTAAAGATTCAGAAATCTATTGCCAGCCAGATTACTAAACATATCTCCCTCTCCCTTTTCATACACGTTTACAGTGGCCAGGCACATTACAGGAACTTGATCAGCTAGAATTTTTAGGTAGTAAAAGATAGTCCATGTTAAATTTAATTTATTTTAATACGATTGTTCCTGGTCTCTGTTTATTTTTGGAAGAGCTTTTGGATGGGCCTGACAGCCTGTAAACACAATAATAGAGGTTGTGTTATGTGCACACTTTAGATAAACACGCGCCTTAAAAAAAAAAAAGGAAGAAAAAAAATCTATTTAGATAAAAAAGCCGAAGAGATATCTATTTAGACAATAAACAAAAACCAAACATTGTGCTATTAAGGAGTTATGAGAATTATTCTGTGCTCCACTTCTTTTCCTCCTTCCCCACCCATTTGTTTTACAACACCTCTTTTTCCAGGGCAGTTAAGGAAAACTGGAGGGGATTCCCTGAAGAAGCCATAAATATGGCTCTTGCCTTGGCTACAAGACTGAAGGGAGACAAAAATGCCCTCTCCTCTCAGATTTGGAAGCACTACTTAGGAAGTCCATGGAAAGCATGGAGGATTTCATATGGTAAACTAAAAAAAAAGACTTTTTTTCAAAATTATTATTATGTTCTCTGAAAACAAACATGGAAGACATTTATACCAAAATTTGACCTTCTTTTCCCACAGACTGATTTGCAAAACCTTTGTATACATCTTCATGTGCGTTGGTTATTAAACAGTTATGAATATTTGGTAGCAAAATAGTTACTTTATTTTATGTGTATTACACACTGCTTTAGGACATTAAACTAAAAGGTAAAACAGACAAAAGACCCCAGCCAAATCCCCACCTCTGCTACCCCGAGGGTCTGTGGCTAACCTCATTCCTCACCCAAGAGGGAATTGAGCTCAGTTGGAGGCCGCACATTGGCCCGTTTCAGGTGACATTGCTTTCCAGCACTGCTGTTTTGCTCAAGCCCCCTGCCTCCTGCTTCAGGACACTCAGCAGCGCTCGAAAGCTGTTCAAGATCTTCACATAAGCAGCGTCGGTTTCAGCAAGGATTTTATCCAGGTCGTCGCGGGCCTCGGCCTTGCGGGCGAGGCTGTCAGACACGCGCTCCAGCCGCTCGCCCAGCGCCCGCACGTCCCGCCGCAGCCGCTCCCGCTCCTCCTCGTCCCGCCGGATCTGGCGGGCCAGCTCGTCCCGCCGCAGGCGCAGGTCCTCCAAGCACCGCACCACCTCGTTGTTGCAGCCCTGCAGGGCAGCTGCCTGCTGCGCCATGCTCCCGGCCCGCTCCGGAGGAGAGAGGGGAGACAAGAGAAAGGAGAGGCCGCAGCTGGGCTCCCCAGGGACATTTTAGCCGCCCGCCACCACCGCCTCCAGCTCCCTGCCGCGGGAGGCAGCGACACAAAATGGCTCCTACCTCAGCCCCGCCATGCCCCCGGGACAGCGGCCCACACTCACTGGCTCGGCCAGCAGCGGAGCGGGACGCGTCGTCAGGTCCGGGCCCCCGCCCGGCAATAACCTCAACAGCGCCGCGCACTCCGGGGTGGGGGGGGTGCACGGAAATAGCCGAGGCTTCCCGAAGGCAGCTCCGGAAACAGCCGAAGTGTCCCGAAAGCTGGAGCCTCCTCTAGGGCCGGGGCGGGGGCGGAAAGAGCCGATGCAGCCCGAGCCGGGGCGGCCGCGGCCGATGTTTGCCGAAGGCAGAGTGGGCCGAGAGCAAAGGGGAGCGCGGGGCCGGGGGGCGGAGCGCGGCGGAAAGAGCCGGAAAGAACCGAGGCGGGCCGAGCACGGCGGCGCCCGAGTTGCCCGGATGTAGTTGGAGGAGCGGCGGCGGCGGCGGCGGGCGCAGCGGGGGGAGGCGGTAGCGGCGCGTCCGTGCTCGCCAGTGTCTCCGTGCGCGCGGCG